CATTAGAAACGCTCACACAGACCCTCCCAGGCTGCAGTGGCAGAAGGGTCCAGGGAGGGGGGAGGAGTGTGGGCAGCACAGGGGCAGATGTAAGGGCTCGACAAACCTCCCTTGCCCCAACTTTCTCCCATCTCCATGCTGTCAATCAAAAGGCATGCAGGGCAGAAGGGGTAACTGGCAATGAAGCTGAGTTTTAGCCAGTGCTTTTCAGGAGCACTCAGACCAGCACCTCCCAGAAAAACCAGTAGGAAATCATTTCACCAATGTCAGCGTGCCTCCCCTCACATCAAGATGGGATGTGATCCCAGCTCACCGTCTCTTCCCAAACACAAGCAGCCCCTGGACAGTCCATCCCAGTAGCACCAATCCAGCCCCCACTTGACTGAAAAAATCCCTAATTTTGTTTCATCTCTGTGAAGTGTGCAGACCTCATCCCACCTATCCGTTGGGCAAGCACGGGGGCGGGGGGGGAAGCAGCTACATCCTCCAATCCCACCACCTCAAAACAGGCTCTCATGTCAAACCGCAGCAGCTGAGACACATCAGGCACGACGCGATCTGCGCTGGAAGAAAGCTAAGAAAGCAAAGTGCCCTTTGGTTAGGTGCCAGCCAGCACACACGGGGGTCAAGACGCAGCTCTGTTGGGAGCGTGGAGGTGTGTGTGTTCCCTGTGGGAAGGCACCGGCAGGGAGGAATACCCCTCCCAGAGCCCAGCCACCAAACTGTCCCCTGGGTACTCAGCAGGGAGAAAAGTTTAAATGAGGAGAGCAAGTGAGCTTCAGTAGGTAGATGCACAACTGGAGGAACTGTTCTATCGTTGCACTCTTAAGGTCCACCTGGTCATCAGCGTAAGCTGGACAAACCTCAGGATTTCCTGAATTTACACCTTCTCTTGGGCCTGGGACAGACAGAGCATCACCGCGGCTGTGCGACTCCCAGCTCGTGCTGCAGTGGGAGCGGGGAGGTTGTGCTGGGACAGCTATGCTAAATTTACCCTGCCCAGGGACTCTGAGGTGAACTGGGCAGAGCAGGTTTGGGCAGCCTTTAGCAGGTTTGGGAGCTGGAGTGAGTTTTTCTGAGATTCTGGCAAAGCCCCAAAGTGGCTGACTCACTCCTCCTCTCAGGTCAGTTCTTCACAGCTGTAACTCCGGTGAGACCAGTGGGTTATTTCTGATGTACATTGCTGTACAATCACAGTCCAGTCCATTGCCCTTGCTGGTGAATGATGGCTCCTGTCTCCAGTGGGCTTTATTTAGCTTCCACTCCAAAGTTGTTCCGTAAGAGGGGAACCAACGTGAAAAGGGTACGGCATTTCTTCTTGTTGGAGATTCCCCATCGTGAGTTATTTGGTGACTTTGAACTTGTTAGAATCAATGAACTCATTATAATCAATGTCCTTGTTCTCTCTATCAGCCGTCCACAGTGCATGGATTTGTCATTCGTTGTTCGACATGACTTGGCGTTTGTGAGTTGTGTCCATGGATGCAAAAGCAGATTCATCCTAATTATATCGAACCACTGATCATCTTAGTAGTCTAGTCTAATATTTTAAGCCCTAAAGATTCCTTAGCAGTAAATCATGCAGGTTACAAATAAAGTGCATGGGGGAGAAAAAAAGAAGTAAACTTTTGTATTAGCTTGAACATTTGGAAGGTAACTGCCTAGACAGAACACATTCAAAGAGCCCTGGCACATTTCTCCACTCTCTTCTCTTGTATTCTGTTAATACCCTACTAAAATTGTTGACTTAAACACCTCCACCCTGTTGTTTTCTGTGTGTAATGACAGGTCTGCTTTAGGGAGGCTGGGCAGTGGTTGGCAAGAGCTTGAGTGCATGGAGATCTCCAGTTGTTGGCTTCGACCCTGGCCTGTGCAGTTGCCTGTTTGCGACAGATCTATTTGCTTGTGGAGCAGCTGTGAAATTGCAGCAGATTTTAGGTATCCGTGAGAGTATCCGTGCATTTCACTGCATAGAATAATGTGTACCTTGTGCTCTGGGCGACACACTGTAATTAGTTTGTAGAAGTTGTTTGCCTCTGAAGATCTATAAATACCCATATATAAAACTATACGGGAATAAGCAGTCACATGCTTAACGCAAATACATTCTAATGAAGAAGAGCTCTATACACTGATCACATTCCCCCACCCCCCAAAATGTGGTTCGACTGCTGATCTTTCATTTCCCATAAGGCTGACCAAAAATATTTACTTTGTTCTTTCACACAAAAAGACAGAAATGGATGGAGAATTTCCCGCTGAAATCAAGGGCATTCACCACTCAGTGACAAACATCCTCCACCCGGGCTTTATTTGTCACCTTGCTCTCTCTCAGAAAAGGCAAAGAAAGGAAATAAAAAATAAACACCTCAGGCACAGGTATCGGTTCCTGTTTCCAAACATTTTCCCCTGGGATTCACTGGCATCACCAGAGTACCTCCTGTCAAAAGCTTCATTTTACAAACCAACCTTGTTCCCCAACCATGCCCTTCAACTTTTGCAAGTGACTTTTTCCATGACCCATTCTCCCCATCCCTTCGGTTTAAGAGAAAAGACAAAAAGCTGTGTTTCTTTCTGGAGTGCTCCTTGCTCAAGTGTATTCCCACCAATACCTGCTGTGGTGTTAACCATTGATGTACTGGCCTCTGCTGGAAAGCACAAAAGGAGAGTGGATTGATGTAGAGTGAAGCAAGCACTGAAGCGCCTGGGTACCTCCCTGACTTGCTGTAGCTGAGCCCAGGGAACCTGCAGGAGAGGAGAAAGAGAGGGGAACATCAGAAAGAGTCTGGCGAAGAGCAAGCACATCTCTGCCTGGTGCTGTCTGGTCCCTGTTCAGTCCCTGACCGGTCCTGCCCTTCCTCCCCCTGCCCAGACCATGGCCAGTCCCTGCCCAGTCCTGTCCTGCCTGCTCCCTCCCCAGACCATGACTGGTCATAAAGTCATAGAATCATAGAATCATTAAGGTTGGAAAAGAACTCTAAAATCATAAAGTCCAACTGTCAACCCACCCCCACCATGCCTACTAAACCATGTCCTGAAGTACCACATCTACACACTTTTTGAACACCTCCACGGATGGGACTCCATCACTTCCCTGGGCAGCCTGTTCCTGCCTGGTCCTGCCCTGCTTGGTCCCTGCCCAGATCACGACTAGTCCCTGCCCAGTCCTGCCCTGCCTCTCCCTGCCCGTACCATGGCCAGTCCCTGCCCAGTCCTGTCCTGCCTGCTCACTGCCCAAACCATGGCTAGTCCCTGCCTGCTCCTGCCCTGCTTGGTCTCTGCCCAGACCATGACTCGTCATAGAATCATAGATTCATTAAGTTTGGAAATTACCTCTAAGATCATCAAGTCCAACTGTCAACCCATCACCACCATGCCTGCTAAACCATGTCCTGCAGTGCCACATCTACAGGTTTTTTGAACACCACCAGGGATGGCACTCCACCACTTCCCTGGGCAGCCTGTCAGAGAATCACAGAGTAACAGAATCAGAGAATGGTAGGGGTTGGAAGGGACCTCTGTGGGTCATCTAGTCCAACCCCCCTGCTGAAGCAGGGTCATTTACAGCAGGCTGTAGAGGACCTTGTCCAGGCGGGTCTTGAATATCTCCAGAGAAGGAGACTCCACAGCCTCCCTGGGCAGC